TTGCCAGTGAAGACTGAGGCAGAAAAGTTTTTAGGAATCTTACATGATTCTGTTAATCCAAAGAGTAATAAATTGAAAAGAATAACGGAATAGAATAAGAGTAGAATATTTCAGTTGGAAGGGACCTGCAATGATCATCTAGTCCAACCACCTGACCATTTCAGGGCTCTCCATAATTTAAAGCATGTTATTAAGAGCATTGTCCAAATGCCTCTTAAACACTGACAGGCATCAACCACCTCTCTAGGAAGCCTGTTCTGGTGTTTGACCACCCTCTTGGTAATGCTTCTTAATATCCAGTCTGAACCTCTCCTGATGAGCTTTGAACCATTCCCACGTGTGCTATCACTGGATCCCAGGAGAAGAGCTCAGCACTTCCCTCTCCATGTCCCTTCCTCAGGAAGATGTAGAGAGCCATGAGGTTGCCCCTCAGCCTCCTTTTCTCCAAACCAGACAAACCCGGAGTCCTCAGCTGCTCCTCACAGGCCAGGCCTGCCTGCCCTGTCACCAGCTCGGTTGCCCTCCTCTGGGCACATTCAAGGACCTTCATATCCTTCTTAAATGGTGGGGCCCAGAGCTGCACGCAGCACTCGAGGTGAGGCCGCACCAACACTGAATGCATTGGGATAATACCCTCTGTGCCTGGCTGGGGATGCTGGGTTTGGGGCACCCCAGGGTGCAGGTTTGCCCTCTGGGCTGCCAGGGCTCACTGCTGACTTCTATTGAGCCTGGTGCCCACCCGCACCCCAGAACCCTTCTTGTAAATTGGAATAACACTGGCTAGCTTCCAGTCAGCAGGGACTTCCAGGAAAAAAAATTGTCCTGTGTTGGCAGTGTACAATCGTAGAATGAGGTAGGATGGAAGGGGCATCTGCATGTCACCTGGTCCAATGGTCTGCTTAAAACAAGGCCAAAATACAGTGGGTTGCTCATGGTCTTGTGTAGTCCGGTGAGTATCACCAAGGATGGAGACTTCACAGCCTTTCTGGACAACCTGTTCCCCTATTTGACTACATAATGGTAAAAAAATTTTCCTAATCTCTAATTGGAATTTTCCTTGTGGTTAGCTATGCTTGTTGCCTCTCATACTTTGATAGTTCAAGAGAGGCTGTCTTTTTTGCACCTTCCCTTTAAATGGCTGAAGACAGCAATAAGATTGATTCTCTGTAGCCTTCTCATCTTAAGACTGAATGAACTCAGTGCTCTCAGCCTCTTCTCATGTGCCATGTGGTCTAACCTCCAAATCATCTTGATCTGATGAAATGGATGTGCAGTGGCAGGTCAAACCCTTATCTCTGTGGGAGGTGTTATTTTGTGTTTTTTATCTTGGGAACGCTTCAGACTTGTGGTCAAATACACCTAGTAAAATATAATGTGGTACCAACATGGTTTTTGATAGAGTTGTTTTTTTCCTTTTCTAACTGGTGATTTAAGTTTTCTTTGTGCTAAATTGTATGAACTTCTTTGTAAATTTAGTGTTGCTTCTTCCTTTTGAAAACGCACACTTTTTCTTTGAGATTCTGGCTGTAGTGAATTGAAGGACCAGAGTAAATCAGAACTAGGATTGAATGAAGTTATTAATTGATACTGTTTTGCAGGTATTTCAAGTACTGAATGAGAAGAAGCAGCTGTATGCTGTCAAATATGTGAATCTAGAGGAAGCTGATCAACAGACTGTTGAGAGCTATAAGAATGAAATTTCTCATTTGAGTAAACTGCAGCAACATAGTGATAAGATCATCCGCCTTTATGACTAGTGAGTAAACACTAATTCTATTAAACCAGTATCTCTTTTATATAAAAGAAATTGTCTTAAATTTTAACATGTGCATATTTATTTATTTTTAGTGAAATTACTGATCATCATATCTACATGGTAATGGAGTGTGGAAATATTGATCTCAATAGCTGGCTCAAAAAGAAAAAAAGCATTGATCCATTGGAAAGAAAGAGCTATTGGAAAAATATGCTGGAAGCTGTTCACACAATCCATGAATATGGTATTCTTAAATAATTCTAGGTATTTGTAGAGGTTATATGGCAGAGATAATATGAATGTGCTTAAATTTTGGAGTACTGCTCTTAGTTTTTGTGTAAGCCTAGTGACCTTCAAAGATGGGTATTTATGGTGAAAAAAATTTTCAGTGAAACAAGAGTAAATCTTGATGCAGAGAGAGACTTTGCTAACTCTAAGGGATCTCCAAGTATCACCGTTAATGCTTTCTATTTTCAGCCAGAAAATAATCTTTTCTCTAGTAGACTACGTTGTATACTCCCAATACTGCTTGCTCTCCATTAGAGTCAAATTTCAGCCACTTATCCTCTCCAAAGAAGCTTTGACATTAATGACAGCTTTTACACAGCTCTGTCATCTTTACTTTGACATAGCATTTCAACTTTTTCTCATAGTTCTTCAGGCTTTCCTTTCATCTTTACCTATGTAATTGAAGTGCATGCATCTGTATTCTGGTTGGCTCTGTAACATAAAGGAGAGAGCGGATTTGGATCCTTTTCCTATTTAAGAAAAAAGTGAAGAGACCTTTACATACAGCAGAGAGCATCACTACTTTACAGCACAAGAACACTAGGACGTTCAATAATGTAGAAAGATAGCAAAACCTACTAAAACACAGGCTACATACTACACGATGTGTTCTTGAAACAAACACTTTTGCAAAATATAAAGATGATAAAGATGGATTGATTGATTATATGGAAAACCACCAAAGTTCATAATAAATCATTTAAGTAGGGTTTGTGAGAGGTCAGTCATATGTAACACTCAGTGAATGGTACCTTTTGAGATCAGGAAGCAGAAAACACCAGACTAAGCAATATAATTCTTTTATTGTAAGTACGTGCTTAGCTGATTATTGAAAAGAAAGCTACAGGAGTGGACAGGCCATTGAATTGCTCCAGAACAGCAGTTCAGTACGGCAGTGTGCACATACAGCTAGAGGGCCTGTCCCTCAATGAGAGAAACTATATGACTCGAGTCTCTTGGAGCTATTTTGGGGTGCCTGCAGATTTGAATAAGTAGTATTTCAAACAAACTCATGCAAGTATTAACTGTTTAAAAAGAAATGGAAAGACTTTTATGAAATCTTCAAAGAATAATTTAGTTTTGGCCAGGTAAAGCTGATCTGTACCTTCTCTCTGTGCAAGTGTTATGGGAATTGAGCAATAAAAAAAACCCCACAGTATTAACTTGGAATGACTAAACCTGGATTGACTTTAAACTTTTTTTACAGGAATTATTCACAGTGATCTGAAACCAGCAAACTTTCTGATAGTTGATGGAATGTTAAAACTAATTGACTTTGGCATTGCAAACCAAATGCAGCCAGATGTGACAAGCATCATTAAAGATTCTCAGGTGAAATACTTCTGGAAAATTGATACATGCTTTACAGAAAAGTCCTATGGTACTTGCTGATTATGTTGATTAATGTAGTTAACTTCAATGAATACTGAAATTTTATGCTGAATGGTTTTATATGTGTGTATAGATAAATATTCCTATATATGAATTTTTCCATGTTTATTGAACGGAATAACAGTGGCCTTCAGCCTTAATACAAACAGATTTTCAAGATGCTTTTCAGTGCTTTGAGACAAAGTCTAACTTTTTATTAAGTGAGTTAAGTGCATGCTTTTCTTAAAGGAATATTTTTACATTTTTATGGCTAGGTTGGCACAATGAATTATATGCCACCTGAAGCAATAAAAGATATGTCTTCCTATGGAGAAAATGGGAAATCTCGATCTAAGGTAACATATGATCTTTTTTCTTCTATTCCATTCATGTTAGGAAGAAAGTAATTCAGGCATATATCTTAAGACTTAGTTTTCTCAAGATCTTCCACTGAAACTAGAACTCAAGGGAATCCATTGTGTCACAGTGATGGTGTGTAGAGATCGAAGGTGAAGTTTATTCGTCTCAGCTACCTAAAAGCATTTTGCAGATGGTGTTTAGAAAAATGTAAGTGCTGAATTAAGTAAAATTGGAAGTAAAGCACATGCACAGGCTTGGGCATTGGAGATGCTGATAATATAATGATATCATCTAAACTGGTAATAAACATAAAAATATTTCACAATTCACTTTTATGGAGCAATATAAAAGTCTCACTGTTATCAGTGTGAATGGCATTGAACAGCAATATAGAGTACAGTGAAACGCGTGCAGCCTTTCACACACCAGAGGCTGTACCGATGACTAATGTTACAAAAGTCTTTTGAGCATCTTAAGGGTCCACTATGCTGTGCATCTCTGACAAGTCCTTCTTTGCACTGAAATCGCTCCAGGGCAGAGCTTTCAGGGGGTGTTTCTGGGAGGAACTTCCACAGAGCTGAGTGAGAGAATCATTCCTCGGTCTCTTCTTGGCTGCCTGTTGTGCTGCTTATGCCCTTTTGTTTTAGCTCTGCTCTGCCAAAAATCGGTGGCGCTCTTATGGTACTGCTAGCTGCTGCACGGCTACATTTTAGCATTCTGCAGAAATAACCCTGGCTTATATCTTTTTCTGAAAGCAAGAAAACTTGCTTTCTGATATAAACCATTGTTAGTATGTTTGTTTAAACAAGAAGATACAATGATGCTTGCATCATTGTAATATTTTTGAATTCTTTTAAGTGAGAAGCGAGTTTTGCAAGAAATAAGCGATACTTAAGGTCTTTTAAAAGATAATACAATGAAGTCTAGTATTTTAGGGGACACATGTATGAGTTTTCTGTATACTATTTTTCTGTGCTACAGAGTACTGTGCATTGTAGAAACTTTTATAACTTCACCAGGGCAACAGAATGTGAATAATGAGGAAAGTACGGAAGGAAAGCAATTTCACATCGACAGTCAAACTTCAGTTAAGGGATACATAGTTTTGTGGAAAAGTATTTTAAAAAAATAATCCATATTCATATGTATGTGCATATACACACTCAAAGATTGTGACTTTGTAGCAGTTGAATAGAAGTATTACTATGTAGTGAAACACAACCTTGTTTTTCTAAACACAGAATAGAATGTTTTGTAGATGGATTTCTTTTGTTAAGGATGATACTTTTTACCTTTTCCTACACTTTTAAAAGTTGCATGCAAAGTGCAGACTTGTTCTGGAGCTCAGCTCACCTAAGCAAAAAGTCTAACCATTGTGCTGGGAGTCAGGCTCTTTGTGTGCTTCTTTTTCCACCTCCCTCCTCTCCCCCAATCTTATGTGCTTTTCTTAAAGTGCTTCAGCTTCAACAGAAGTGGAAAGTCCTCCTATAAGGAACAGCCCAGGTGTGGTGATAGAAATCTAGATCTGAATCCTCTAAACCCACAGGAACTGAACTATGGCTTCCCCCTTTGGGGACATAGCTGTGTCTTAGTGGTTTCTGGATTTAATTAATTTAGTATGCTTTTATTTGTATTTACTCATAAATCTGAAATTAGAATCCTGCAGTTCAACTTGTTAAGGACTAACTTTAATTTTATTTTAAGTTAGTTCAAGTAAGTTGATTTTTCAAAGATAATAAAACTAGGTTTCTTACGGAGTATTAGTGAATGAAGCCACATCACTGTCTTGGTAGATTGTGGCATGCTGTCTTGGTGATTGTGTGTGATAGTTACTAAAATCTGTTATCCAATGTAAAATATACATAATATTAAGTGAAATGACTGTACAATTATATGATAAATCGACTGAAGGGACAGTTCCTTAAGTGAAGAGTAATCTTAATTTTTTTGTTTTTCTATTAGATAAGTCCCAAAAGTGATGTGTGGTCATTGGGATGCATTTTGTACTGTATGACATATGGAAGGACTCCATTTCAACATATAACAAATCCAATTAATAAACTGCATGCTATTGTTGATCCTAGTTATGAAATAGAATTTCCAGATATTGCTGAGAAGGATCTTCAAGATGTGCTAAAGGTAACTGTCCCTTTAATATTAATTTTGATTCAAATAATGGCAATTTCATTATTTAAAGCATATTTTCTTAAACTGAATGAGTTGTGCATGAGAAACTTTTACAAATACATGCTTATTGCTACTTGCAGTAACAAGCCTTATTCCAAAAGACGACTCAATGAAGCCAGAGCTACTTCATACAGTTTCCATATTAAAAGTCTATTTTCAGCTCAGTAGTACATAGACAAGTGAATACTTAAAGCAGTCTGGCTTAACTCCTTTGGCTGAACAACTCAAAGTAAATGCAGTAGCTTTGGTACTTGCCATCCCTTTCCCTCACTCTTGTCTATTTTGCCTGCTTTTGAAACCTGACCTATGCTTTTACTCGAGCCCTAATTGTGTTGCCTAGCAGGTAACAAACTGAAACTCAGAAACACTTATCCCCTTAACTTTCAAATCTTGGTGTCACTTTGTTATTTAGAATAAAAGGATATTGTAGGTTCTGGTCTTCGCCTCTTCTGACATTGTTGCTTGAGTAAAACAGGATACCAAACTTTATTCTGAAGATAATTGCTAATGAAGCCAATTAGGTTAATCTGTTACTGTATTGAGAGTTGAGTCTTTCTGAGTATGTAGTTTGGCAGTAAGAAGTTCTGACGTGAACCTACAGGGTCTTTTAAAGATCCTACCTGTTAATTCTTAGGAAAACTCTTAATTTATAGGCAAAGCATTCTTCTTTTTTCATTTGCAGCGCTGTTTAATAAGAAATCCTAAACAAAGAATATCTGTTTCGGAGTTGCTGGTACATCCCTATGTTCAAATTCAAAGTCATTGTCACTCAGGTACATTTATTTTTAAATACATTTTCATTAAATAGTATTTATAATTCTGTTTAAGAAAACAAAATGCTTTACTTATGTATGTCCTTTCTGCTTGTTGGTGTAACAATCTATTTTGTTTGGTGCCTATGTATGTTTCAGAAAAGACTTCAGTATCTTAATTCTTAAACCTCTTAGAAATGGTGCTGGTAACTTATCCGTAGTTGTATACAACTGTAGCATGATTATAAATTACCCACAGGTGTTCCAAATGCGAAAGCAACAACAGAGGAAATGAAACGTATCCTTGGCCAGCTTGTTGGCTTGAATTCTCCCAACTCTATTTCTAGAGCTGCTAGGGTAAGTAAATTTTCTTTTCTATATTGTATTTGTATGGTAGTACATGTTTATGCAAACAAAGGTTAGAGTGGTAGTGGAAGCTGAAAGGATACATGTATCAAAGCTTTAACCACAGCTGGAAAAACATTGTAGTGCTTTCGTCTGCAAGCATGCAGAATCTCTCTACATCCTTCTGAATGGGAAAGGTTGAAAGGAATGATGATATTCTTGATTCTAGCTTTTTCTTTCCTTTCCACCTCCCAGTATGTCTGTATTGCTTTATTTCCAAATCCTCCACTGCCCTAGCATCTCCTCTCTAAAACAGTCCTTACTGTGCTATTTTGCTTTTAAGCTGCCCAAAACCTGTAGTAGGTCTTCTAACTGAAGAACCATCATTATAGCGAAATGATCTATATTGATCTGTCCAGTGCGCAAGCTTTTGGACTGTGACTGTTCTTACCTCCTGGAAGTTGCTGAAATGTTAATGCATCGCTATATGTAAGTTAATCCCTGTATGTTGAAGTATTCCAGCCTCTCGGTTTACTGCCTGAAAGAGCAACTTGATAACTCTTCTCCAACTCAGTTCTTTCCACCTGTCTCTCAGAGGAGGTGATGGTGGTCAAATGTATAATAAGTTGAGATGGAACGCAAAGGTACTTTCATGGGGAGGAAAGCAAATTCAGTATGCGTGAAGTAAATATAAAGAAGTTTATTTACATTTAGACTGCTAGTCATACCTGACCTTTTTTAAAAATAAGGGGGTGAGCAAGAGACGATCCTTCTAACAGTATTGTGATGTGGCTATGTTTGTGAGCACTGATTTTCCTATCTCATATAAAGCTTGCTCACTCTGAGTGTGCAAATACTCCTCTCCTTCCATGCTGGTGTTTCCACATCAGGGGCAATTAATGGAGTAAACTGGCCAACTTGTGAAGCTCTGTATCTTTGCTCATGCTCCTAAGTCAGCATATGCTTTCTTTTAGGCACTACATTGCATTACAACTGGTACGACTAAGCTGTCTTAAGTGTATCTTTATTTTATGATTTGAGAGAGAAATTTTAGTATGGAGTTTGGAATATTTCAGTATGTGATGATTTAATTCAAGTGGTAATGATTATTATATAGTTTGAAGCCATGTGCAATACAGCTGTGTTCATCTGAATAACTGTGTTTTTATTAACTTTCAGACTTTATATGAACAGTGCAACAGTGGTAAAAGTCTTGATGTATCAGCATTTGCAAAACTTGGGAGTCAAAAATCACGGACAACAAAATGATGCACTACTGTTCAGGATGCAACAGAGATGTCTGGTCTGTTCAAAGTTGTTTTGTGCTGCTAGCTTTTAAAAGGACACTCGGGATAAAGTTCACATTTTAAAATGTTCTTTGTCTTCTGATAATGCTTGCAGATCATTAAAAAGAACTTAATTGAATGCTTTTCACTGGGGGCTGTTTCACTTTGCCACTTGGATTGAACAATGAAAGTTGCTAGCTGGCGATTATGGTCTTTGTTACTTACCAAGCACTACAGTGTTTGGAGTACAAAAACTTGTATGAGAATCTTCAAGATTTTTTATCGCTCTGAAGCTAAAACAAAAAAGTTCCTAAAATGCCAGTTGGTGTACATGAAAAACATGCAAATATCTCTTGAAATATCTCCTATGACATGAAGGCAGTATTATGCTGTTCTGTCCTTTACCAACAGACACTTTTTGTGTCCAGTTTTGATCATAACTAAGGAAATAAGCACTCTGTTTAAGTGATCAGTTACAATACCGGTAGATACATGTAAATGTCACCCAGTTGTGAGCTGTTCTGTGGATAAGTGACATGATGGAAGCATCAGTACTGTTCTGAAGTTCTATGAATAAAATGGCTTTTCTATTGAAAATGCTGCTATAAATCCAATATTCTTTTCAAATTTCAAAGTAATAGAAAACCCATCAAGATTCATGATGATCAGAAATCACTAATTGGATTTTTAAAAGCATTAATACTAAGCACTCTTTAAAATGCACTGAATGTAGCAGGACTGGGGCTTTTTTACGCAACTGTTAGTGGATTGACTGGGTTTTGTTTTAACTGAGTTACATTTCTGTGCAAGTATATGAATTTTAAATGTACTTAAATCATTGAAAGATGTTAAAATAATATCTAATGATTTTAAATTGCAAAAAAAAATCTTACCTTCAGTTTCAGGACAGCTGCCATGCTGTCCTTGGGATACCTTCTAAAATGTGGAGCTTATCAGCTCTGTATCTTCATCAAGCGTTTTGAATTAGTCTGTTTTGCTTTTCCTTAACAGCCCTGCATATGAAGAGCCCAATTTCATTATTAAAGTGACTCTTTCCTTGTTTATCTGCATGAATTAAGAGTATGACATACTCATCAATCAGTGATGGAGAAAGTTGAAGGTCACCACTAGGGAAGCTTTCCTTGACAATTTCTGCATGTTAGATTACTGAGTTTAAAATATTTCAATGCTCATCTGAAGCTAAGATAACAAAGTCTGTGATAGCTTTTGTATTTTGTGTTTAAGTTTGGCTAACTCATATTGGGAAAAGATCTTGTAATATAATGCTTCACAAAGGTCTATGTTGTAAGCATATATTTAAGTATTCATTCACCCTTCTGAGTATTTTTCTTCAGATTGCCTGGGTTCACAGGATTTAGTTTTTCTTTTTGATCTTGAAACATTAGGTTTCACTGCTGTCTTACTACTAGTTGATTTCTGTAGCTTTCACTTCCATGACTCTTGAAAGATTTAGAAGATCAAAAATGTGAGTGGCATGGTTAGATGTTAACCTGAACCTGTCACAGTACTGGGAAGTCTCCGCAAAGCCTCTGAGGAAGGGAGGCAGTCTAGTTTAGACTGCCAGGTTTTACTGTCTGACAGAAGTATGATTATGCACCCAAGCACTGGAGCACAAATCAAGCGCCTGGAAATTGTTTCTGCCTCTGTGGTGGAGGTGCGTGTTCATAGCACTTCTGTCATCTACATGCCGTCAGGCAGGTCGGTTAGGTCAGCTGCCTGGGGGAGGGGGGAATGGCCATTCTTAAGGCTTACTTAAGTCAACACATTTTGGTGCCTTGGGAGGATGCCACTGACGTCCAGAGAATTCTTACAAATTACTTTGAGCATCACAAAATACTGGGTAGTTGTGTGTGTTCTGAGGATGTGGATATTGTTCTTGAACTTTGTTTTACACCCTAAAAAGGGGAATTCCCACTGCCTTTGCCATGTGTGTTAGCAGGGCTGAGATGCATTTATCTTCTCTTTGTCTAGGTAAGCTTATCCTATACCTATAGGAATAGGCATATTGTACTGCATGCTCTGCTCTACTTTCCCTTAGCGTTTATGGGGGATCACTCTTTACTGACAACTTCAGTTAAAAAAAAAAGTGTTACCTTTTATCCGTGGAAGGTGCAGCTATTTCTGCAGTGATCCAGATACAGTGGCAGCTGTACTTTGCATGATTCTTCAGCTCACAACATAACCTTTTTCCATGCTTGCACACTGAGCAGTAGTAGCTTTATTGGTATCACTCATAGCACTATCATAATGTCTTGATCTGAAGTTAATAGCAAAGAAAAGAGATAGTGAGCTGTAAATACCTATCTCAACAGCAGTATTGGAGGAAAGACTTCGTTTCAACGTGTTCTTGCTATCTTTCCTGCCATTGACTTACTAGTTTTTCGCTGACTTTATAGGCCTATGAGAACTGACGAATGAGAGAGAATAGCACACACTTTGATCTCAAATGATATGTGAAACTCAGAAGTATTGTATTTTTTTCCCAAACTAGAGTAGCTTTGATTTTTTTTAATAAGGTTTTCAGAGCTTGCTAATATAATTAAAGCACCCCTTGATAGGTGGGGAATTTTGTTCTTAATTCTCTAATATTCAAAGCAGCAAAACAATTCTTCAAATCATTAAAGAAGTTTGGGTTTAAGATTAATTAAGAATAGTATTTCTGTAACTTTATCAGGCCTCTACTTAATGTCTGTGTTTCAAAGCTCTAAGCCCTCACCACCTTCACATGCCAGTTAGGACTATCCTGCTGTGACAGAGCAAGGGCTTGTAAAAAGAGCATTAATTATTCTGGGGTGTGGTGTTCCTGTGTGTGTTCAACACCTGCCCTTCTTTGTTTCGGTTGCAGTGGTCTCTGGACTATGCAGGGAGAGTGATTAGGAGTGGGAACGACTCCTGATACCAGCCCTTCTCCGCTCAGCCTCGCCTGGGAGGAGGGCTGGAGCAGAGAATGTGCTCACCCAGTGATGGGGCATATGCAGGAACAGCACATCTCCCTTGTAAGGGCCAACTTGGAATGACAGATTTAAGTTTGTTGATCTATTGTTATTATATGAAACAGATTGTGGAGTCTCAATTAGTCATCTGTGGGGATGAGGTGTAGCTATCCTATATTTCTAGGGGAAAAAAGTTAGACTTCCCTGCCATGGTCCTGTTCTTTTGGATTTTTTTTTTTTGAATCCCAGACTTTAGTATCCCTGTGGCAGTTCAGTGGTATTTCAAGCATAATGAGTACATCTGCTAATTGTACTCTGCTTGTCTGTTATAAAAGTTAAAGTTATAAAGCTTGGAACTACGGAACAAAAAATGTTAATGTTCTGCACCTTTCATATTCTAGACAGTTTGGGAGACCACTTATGGTGTGAGAACTGAAACACTGTCTCTGGCTTTCTCTGGAGAGGGGAAAAAGAAGTATCAGCCTCTTCAGAGGAAAACTCATGAAGAAAATCTTTACTCTGCAGAAACATCTTTTCATGGAGTTACTGAAATGTCTCCCAACTACTTGTTTAGATTACAGAACTTGAAATATTTCTGCATAATTATTCAAATGTTATAATTGTTAACTTTCACTATGTTGCTTCTCTGGCTAGTGTTGAGTATGCAGAGAAACAGTGCTGTATGCCTTATTTTTTTCTGTTGTAGTATATGGTTTATCAATCATTTCTCTCATTCCATGACTGCTAAAGAACCCACAGGAAATACAGCTGGCATGAGAGGGAGCTTATGAAAGAGGACTGGGGCTGATGAAAGGCAGTGGGTTGTTATCAGTCATCCCTTTTAAATAAAAATTTTCTGTTGCAAATGGGTGATTGCTTTTATACTCATTCCCTGCCTCAATGACATGCTACAAGTTGTCTACGTAGCTTGGCAACTGCCACTTATTCCTATTGGTTTTTTGCTTTACAAACAACCATCTCCACTTTCAGATTCTACTAGGATCTTAAAAAGTCTGTGTGAAGTACAGAATAGCTATGAATGATTAGCTTTAAAGGACAGAAAATACCAGTCTTAAATGTTGGGTAACAGAGGTTGCTGCCTGAACATTACTCAAGATTACAAAATGCCAATCATGCATTACTGTCACCCTCAAGGCTGCAGTTCAGGACTCTGTGTATGTATAAAATGGGGAGAGAAGATGGCTGACTAAACCCGAGTATGTCTGTTTGTAATCACATGGATCCATGCGTAGTATAATGCTATATCAGCTAATATTGAGATACCACAACTCCATGAAGATTAGAAAGGTAAATGAGAACACTTCAGTAAGTTCCCTTTAGTAATTCTTGTTCAAAAAATGGGTTGGGAACCTACAGCTTTTAAATCTAATACTGTGGTCCAAAAAACCTTTACTCAGCAGCTAACACTAAGAAAAGCCTAACTGCAGAAGGTTGACTTCCTTTTTTTACTTATGGATGGGTATAGCATTACTGGGCCTGAACAGCTGTATGCATAGTCAGAATTCAAAGACTCGAGGAGTTTAAGTTTTGAAGGCTCTGCTCTTACGGTCTGTGTTGGTGTGCCAACACCTGGAATTGAGTCCTTGACAAATAAAAGGAGGCTGTTCTCTTGCGTAACTCCCTGCTCTCAGGACATTTGTCAAAGGAGCAAGACAAGTCTATCCCCATGGCCCTGGAGGAGTCAGACTCCTGCTTCTGATCTGGCTTTGTTGAAAGCATTCTAAGCTCCTGCTGCTGAGTGCATAGCTGGGCAGGAGGGGAATGGTTAAATCCCTAACATTAGAGAGTGCAGAGCAGGGTGTGAGTTAGGCATAAGGTAAGTGGTCAAATATCACTCTATTTTGGTCCCTCCTCTGCGAGAGTGCAGAGCAGGGTGTGAGTTAGGCAGAAGGTAAGTGGTCAAATTGTCACTCTATTTGGTCCCTCCTCTGTGCTTCTGTTCTTTCTTCAAGCACCTGACAGTGGTTTCATGCTAAACAGATAACTAATTCTGGGAGTTGTGATGAGT